TTCCTCAAACCAAGATGGAATCAACGCCGTAATCGTTCGACACGTGTCCTTTTGTGGCCCGTTTAGCTGACCAAATGAATTTGACACCACTTTTCTCCAACGCTATTGCTAACTCCTCCATTTGCTTGATTTGTTAACACCGCTTGGCTACCAAAACAAACGTACACACAACCGAGTTATCTTCAACACGTGTCGAGCCACGCTAATATTTACTAGCCAAAATAGAGCTCGAACCACCTCTGTTCGATGAACCAAAATTATTAGTATCATTTTCCTCGTGGGGAGGCAGTACTGGACCCACGGCCCAAACCCGGTCGTGGCCCAAATTTTCATCAGTGATCTAAATACACACTTTCCAACTCCGTGAACGTGTTGACAACGAGTCCGTGACTCGCTATATCAGCAAGATAACTTTTTCTGATGAATTCTGAATTTGGGTCTCCTTTAACATAGCTACGAAAAATAGGAGACAGCTGCCACCAAGGGATTTTGGGCAATTCGGAATATTAGGGAGTTCAAAAATCTCATTCTCATCGTTGGTATTTTTCTTTGGGCATTTCACTCCAAAGTGAATAAACAACTGATAAAGCCAACGCGCCAGAGGTGGAAAACACGTACCGGCGAATACCAAGCTGGGTAGCAATTTCGTGGAGTGAACCCCAAAAACATATCGGATAATTATGGCGACGGCGGCGAAGGGTGGTTGTTGAACAGTCCAAGATGGATCTTGAAGCTTACCTAGAGTATACATCATAGAACGGAATCCATCGGCGGAGAGATCCTTGACGTTCTCAACGCCGTCGGGGAATTGAAGGGTGAGAAGGGAAAGGCAAATAAGAGTATTAATTGATGGGTGCTGAGAAAGAAGTGGGTTTAAATAGGAAGATTTTTGGGGTCACTAAAATAGTAATAGCTATATCACGAATGAATAGCTGTGATGAGTGAATGTCTAAAAGGAGGTAGCATATGGCCTTGTGCTGGATTAAGGGAAGATAGAGCATGAGGACGATTTTCAAACATCTTTCTACGGTGCAGATGAAGAAGAAGATGAAGAGGAAGGGGAAGTGGTTCAACTTTTAAGGACAAGAACAAATGTATTGTTTTTGGGATTTCTTTTTTCTTTTTCCGCTTTATGAAGTTGAGGAATATCCTACTGGTATTCTTTTTCTTTGTGCTTTTTTTTTATATAGATTTCGGGGAGACAAAGGTTTGACTTGATAAGCTATTAGTTGACGACCATATTCAACTAACTATACTTATTTTTTCCACTGTTTGACTACTGTATTTTGTGAATTCTTTTGCAATAGATTTTTTTTCTCTAATAAGGAAAAATATATATATATTGCTTAGAAAGGAAAATTACTACTTACTACCATAAAAGTTCTCACCATTCACAGTTAAAAACTGAAAGATTACATTGATATTTTTCCATGACTATATTTGGTATCAAAGTTAAGTTTGCAATCTTTCATGTGTCAATCTGACGTGTCTTTTTTGTTTTTTTACTTATTGAGGAGAGTATTATGGAAAATTTTACAAATATGAACCTATAGTTTTAAAATTGAAAGATGAAAGGATAGTGAACTTTTTGCAAATAATCAATTTCTCTATTAAGGAAAAATGATATTATTGCTTAAATTTTTAAATTTGAACGATGAAAGGATAGTGAACCTTTTGCAATAATCTTTTTCTCTGTTAAGGAAAAACTGTTACTATTGCTTAAAGTGAAAAATCTACTATCTACATCCATAAAAGATTCTCATTTCATAGCTATATACTAAAACTGAGAGTCATATACTTACTATTTTCCTGACTTATTTGATATCAAGGTTAAGTTAAGTGTGCCTCTTGTGTTACATCCGCAGTGTCGTTTTTGTTTTTTACTTTTGAGGAGTTATTGTTACGAATTTACAAAATTTGGAACCTACATTCTAAAATTTGAACGATGAAAGGATATTGTCTGTAACTCAAGATTTTGCTTCGTAAGTTTCGGATTAACTGAAAATAGATTGCGGTTTGAAATCACTTAGAAATTTATGTGAAGTTATTACTATATTATTCATAAGACAACGATCCAGCCAAAGCAATTTCAATTTTTTAAAGGAATGATAATGTAGATAATAATAATTATTCGATAAAAAAAACACCCTGCATAAAGAAATTCCATGCATAAATATTTGATTCTTTTTCATATTATTACCATCGCCAATCAATCAAATATTTATGGTTTAGATTATAGCTGTCACTTATTACTTAGCATATCTGTTTTTTTTTTGGTCAAAAGGAAGAAACATATATTATAGATAAGAGTTACTAGTCATCAAACGTGATCCAACCTAGGCAATCATGTAGCTAGATGTAGAATGCATAATAGGAAACTCCAGGTGTCCCCGCATGGGGAGCATACTACTAGTACTAAGTCATAATTTAGATATTACATTAGTATTATAAATACTAGTTATAGAAGGGAGCGACTGTGTCGAAACAGGTACAAGCCTCCTTTGTTGGTGCCTTGTTGATCTTGCTGTAGATAAGGTGTAACAAAAGGTGGTGGTTGTGCAAAAAGTATGCAGGTTAGACGCTGCATTCCTGGATCCATATTTAGTTAAACTGTCAGCAACACAATTCTGATCTCTCTATATATGCTGGATGGGTGGGCTACCAGTTGTAGAAGTAACAACTGCAATCATGATAATGTTAGTATAATGCATAGAAGATATTTGAAACATACCGATGAGTTTGTTGGGCATCTGTTTCGATCACAAGTGGTGTCAGATTCTTTTGCAACGCTATTTTCAATCTCATGAGGAGTGCAAATAGTTTTGTCTGTATGCTGGTACCTTTATTTTGACTGTCCTGCAAAGCCCATAACCCAACTGCCTTGGTTGGCTTCGAAATACTCCACCATGCCACATTGTTTATGGAAAAAATGAAGTAGAGCCATCTATATTTAGTTTATAGCAATTTTCAGCTGGCGGATGCCATTTAAACTATATAGAGGTATGATTGGCAATCCTTTTTTCTCAGTTTGTGACTCGTTAAGTAATAATATTCTGCTGTAGTAGTAATTAGTATTGAATATTTAATGGAAGTCGTTTTTTTTCAACCTGTGTTTGTTCCGTAGAAGCAGATATGCCATAGGGCAAAAAGGTCTGAATATAGTTAGATGGATGTGATGGGGTTGGGTGATAGATGTGTATGAACAATCGTCATAACTAAGTGGTAGAATCCATTGGAAATGTAGTAGTGCACGAAAGTGGGAGCGATAGTTGAGATTTCATAACTGGATTGCATAGGGCAACAGAAAATACATGTTGTATTGTTTCAGGTGCCAAAATGGCACTATGTACATATAGATGATGCTAAAAACCTAAATGGGAAAGGTATGCAGCAGTGGGAAGTTTATTA